GCGTGGCTCTTCCATGCATATATTTTGCCCCGAGCCAAGATCCCTGGTCTAGATCCTAGTGGAGCTCGGCTACTTTCCGGGCAGCTCAGCAAAGCAGTGGGATCCACATCTTCCGGGGATCTCCAAGCCTCAGAGGCCCGGTCTTTTTAAATTAGGCTTGCTGTTTTCTATTTCTCCCTGGGCTGCAGAAAGCTAGAAGATTTTTATCTAGCTCAAATAAGGCTGCTGGTCTTCCCTCTTTTTTTTCTGCGAGGGTGTTTTTGGCTGCAATTGCATGTAATCCCAATGGTGTAGACCAGTGGAGATGGATCTAGGAGTTTACCAACTGAGACATTTTTCAATTTCTTTCTTGTCATCCTTGCTGGGGACTGAAAACGCCTCTGTGAGACTTGACAATAGCTCCTCTGGTGCAAGCTGGTAGCTGTTGACAACAAAATCGAGCAAGCTATGGATCTGGTGAAAAGCCATTTGATGTATGCGGTTAGAGAGGAAATAGAGTGCTCAAAGAGCAAATCAAAGAACTAATAGAGAAAAACTCCCAGCTGGAGCAGGAAAACAATCTGCTGAAGACACTGGCCAGCCCAGAGCAGCTCGCCCAGCTGCAGACTGGCTCCCCCCCCTGCCACCACACAGCCACAGGGAACCACACAGCCGCCGGCCCAGCCAGCGTCCCAGGGCTCGGGACCAACGGCATAGCCTCCTATGCACACGCAGAACTGGCTGCTGCTGTCTGAACTCAACAGACCTGAGATGATGTACTAGGGGGAAGCCGCCTCCACAGTCACCCATTTCATCGCTCGCTGCAAAAGAGACGTGAGACTGACATACGCCATTATCTCTTTTTTTCCAGCATTAAACACCCATATGCTTTTGGCTTGAAGAAATTTCCTAGCTGGGTGCGTTAAAGGTTAATCAGAGAATTAGCATGGATGTACTGGGACCTCATGCAGCTTGGCAGATGTGTGAGAAGTGGTTTAATTCATACTGAGGAGAGATGTGTGCCTTTTCATCCCTCCCTGCTCCCCACCCTCACTTCCAAGAGTTCCCGCCTGCTTGCACGCAGTGTGCTCCAGGGGGTTATGGAGCAGTGGAGCTCACTGGACTGTTGTCTTTCCTCTTGTCCCTGTGAGGAACTTGAAAGGGAGGTAGAAGGCAAGACTGGTGCATAGTCAAGGGGAAACATAGTTCCTTGTACAAATCGACAACTGTCGCCAGAATCCATAAAAAAACGAGTACTGTGCGCCTCACCCTGAAACAGTGGATGACACAAAACTATTAGAGTGACTAAACGGTGACAGGTAGCTGGCACCTAGGCTATCTTACCATGAAGGATGTTTTGCTTATTATATATTTGTGTATGTAGTGTAACTATTTTGTACAATAGAGGACTGTAACTACTATTTAGGTTGTACAGATTAAAATTTAGAGGTTTCACTGGCTGTCTGAAGAGGTGTGGATTGTGTTTATATAGGGGATCTACATAAAAAAATGCTACGTGAAGAAAACCACACCTACAGAAATTTTAAGAATTTGACACAGTCACTTTGTGTAATCGGAAATCTGCTAGCTGCTGAATACCTTGAAGTAAATCTCTGTTCACTGAAGTCTTTTGATTGAGCTGGTTGAAGACTTTGAAAAAATGATCAGTTCTAGCTAACGAGATGAGTTTCCCAGTAGGGGTTTCTGCATATCACCTGTATAGTAGTTATATGCATACGATTCTGTGCATGTTCTCTACACAGTTGTAAGGTGTCACTGTATTTAACTGTTGCACTTATCAACTTTCAATTAAGCATATAAAATGTTGGGGAAAAAAAAAAGAACAGCTTAGTCAGTGAAACAGAATACAAAGTCCTCAAAGAAACCTAAATGTAATAAGAATCTGGTATATGATAAAACTTTAATTTCAAACTAGTGGGAAAAGAATGCTTTATTACATAAATGGTATTGGTTCTAACCATTTGAAATACAATAATGATTAGTTTTTGTCTCCCTATACTCAAAATAAATTCCATATGAATATAAATGTTGTCGGCATAAGAAACATCCAAACCTATAGAGAATTTTTATGTTTATCATTAGGATCCTGATGTATTTTCCCAAGAACGTGATCCCACAGTTACCGAAGAATGGAAACACAGATCCGGAGAGGCAAGGTTTAAGCAGAAGCAGTTTTATTGCAAAAGCATAAGAGAAAAAGCACAAGAGAAAAAGCGCAAGAGAAAAGTTCTCCACATATCCGCAGAGAGGGGGGATTCCAATGAAATGCCCCATGGGCTGGGCTATGCTGGGAACTATAATAACTCTGAGTTCAAGTTGTTTGGTCTTCTATATCTGGGCAGTCAATCTTGGCAGGTTCTGAAAGCTTATTAGCTCCCTTTCCCCTACACCTGGGCTAATAGTTTTGGCAGGCTTTTCAGCTTGAGCGGCATTTTACAAGCTGAATGACCCTCCTCCCCCACACTTGAGCCGACCACTCTGGTGGGTCCTGCACATGCAGCCTGAATCCACCAGCTAGCCATTAAAGTTATTTCCTCTGGCTTTGTTATGGTCTCCGCCTTAATCCCCTCTACCATGGCCATTTTCCTCACTGCCTATAATTTTTCAATCTCAATATGTCAGGAAGCAAAATCTCAAATGCTCCAGAGAATAACAGTTTTGTAGCTTCTTTTATGCATTAGAAATTAAGAAGGGGACTAAGGGAGATTGGACAAAGCAAGGTGGGATTGATTACAGGAGAGTTAACATTATGTGTTCTCTCGAGGGTGAATGCTCCCTCTGAGGGTTATTACTTGTGGCAATTCAAAGGTGTGTTACCCTAGATGCACAGAAACTATGGACAGGGCTTGCTTAAGACAAAGATAAACTTTTTTTTTTTTTAAGATTTTTATTGGGGAATTGGGGGGATGGGAACAGCGCTGGGGAATCGGGGGAAGGGGAACAGACAAGTTGCTGTCTTTTTGTTCTTCAATCTAGTTGTGGAGGACGTTGCTTCACTGGCCCAAGTTGGCACCATCATTGCGCTCTTCCTGGGCGAGGCAGATCAGTCGCCTGCATCTGGACAGCCGCTCACTGCGGCTGCTGGCTACATACGGTAGCCCATGGCAACCCAGTGCCACAGGGGCTGCAGCCTATGCCGTCGTCGGCAACTCAGGGCAGCCCAGCTCCAGGTCGAACTGTTGTTCAGCATTTCAGCTGTAGAGGGCTGTCACTAGCCCTCATATGTGGGCTCCGAACCGGGGCCCTCTGGTGTCCCAAGCCAGTTCTTAACCAACGCGCCACTCGGCCGGCCCCCAAAGATAAACCTTTTACTAAAGAAGTTATATGCCTGGGGCGTGACTACCTACCACAACCTGCCCAGTTACGAATTTATGATCAGATCACCCTGGGAAGCTACTTTCCATAGAACCCATTGTTTTCATCCACAATGTGAAAATTTTAAATGTGAAAAATGAAAACATGGGATTGAATCAGGGAGGAACCCAAATTTACTATGTGCTTCCTGGGTTGATCTTTAATCTTGTTCCATCTCTGAGAGAAAGCAAAGAATAAGTAAACTGTAGCACATCTTTCATGTTTGCATCTTGACGTATTCCTCAACTTCTCTCATTTTCTGAGCACCAATTCCTTTACAGCATCCTGGGCTCTATTGTGGCAGTGGGCCCTAGACAAAGGCCTTCCCAGACCATGTGGTCACTAAGGATTTCACGCGGGCTTGAGACAAAGACATTCCTGGACTGCATGGTCATTAAGACTTCCGCATTTAATATTTCTGAATTCCTACCTCACCCGGGAGCCAGTCAGAAAGTGGCACAATGGCCACATGTCCTAATAATAAATCTTAACTGCCAACCTGGAAACTTCAGGGTATATAGCCCCGAGTCCCACCCGGGTCAGGGCTCAGCCTCTGGATGTAAGTCCGCTGAGCCTGTGCCAGCATTAATAAAAGTTGCTTCAAAATACTTGGTGTCCTGTCTCTCTGAGTTTCCCGCAACATAATTGGGGGCTCGCCCGGGAGGCAGAGACGGTGATATTTCCGCCTCCCTTGTCCCCAAGGTCCGGCTCCCCCAGATGAGAGGGGACGCGCACTCTACTCAACACCAACGGACCCTTGTCGATCAGTGGGGATGTCTCCCCTGTCGGCCACAGAGGACCGACCCGGGAGCACAAAGGAACCCTGAGGGCTACAGGAACTAGCTTGGGAGCGCCGCCCGACCAGAAAGGTAAGGACCCGGGTCCCTTAAGGCAGCCTGTCCATCAGCGGACAGAAGGAGTCACCTGAGTATCTCAATTTCTGAGAGAAACCGTGACTCCCAGGAAAAGGGCGGTGGGCGGACAATGAATTTGTTTGAGTCTGTGTGAATGAGACGCAGCCCATCTGCAAAGCGAGTGTGGAGTCCAATCCATGGGTCTGTGGCACACCTCATATGGCTTAGGGTGGTATTGCTAAATTGTCTCGTACGGTTTAGTAATCCGAGTTGGGGGCTTAGACCAACCCACCAATTGCTAAGAGACGCCTGAAAATCTCTGCAAGGGGAGTGGCTGGAGACAGACAAAGTGAATCTCTGAGTGTGTGTCACGCTGATTTCGGGTGGTTACCATGGGTGGGCGACAGAGCACTCAGACTCTGTTAGGATGTACGTTAAAAAATTTTAAGAAGGGGTTCTTAGGGGATTATGGCATTGAGATGACCCCCCAAAAGCTCCGTACCTTCTGTGAGATTGACTGGCCATCATTAGGTGTTGAATGGTCAGCAGAGGGAAGCTTAGACAGAGACCTCATTAGGAAAGTCTACCTCATTGTTACTGGCAGCCCCGGTCACCCTGACCAGTTCCCCTATATCAACTCATGGGAGGCTATTGTACATACCCGACCCCCTTGGTTGAGGACCTGTTTGGAAAACCAGAGCAGAGTTTTTCTGGCCCAAGCTGTGATCCCCTCATGGAAGCTACCTAAGGACAAAACAGCAGAACAAAAGCCGATCTTGTCTTCAGACCCAGAGGAGATCCCGCCACCCTATTTGCCTATCTACCCAACCCTTTCGTAAGCCTCCAAGTTGCTAGCCCAGCCCCCAGGACCAACCTCGCTGGCTCCACCTCCTCCGCCCACCACGCCAGTCCAGCCTCTACTACCGCCTCACCAGCTCCACCTTCTCCACTCACCATCCACTTCCCGGACCCTCCTGGTACACCATCGCCTCCAGTCCTGACCCCATACGGACCCACAGATAAGTGGCTACAGACAAAGGACCCTGAGACTGGCGCTCTCCAGCTCCCCCTACGGGAAACCAGAGGCCCCGTCTACTAAGATCAGGAAGGCCAGATTCAGGGAGGCCGACACATGTTTGTGTACCAGCCCTTCTCAACCACTGATCTCTTAAATTGGAAAAATCATACCCCATCATATACTGAAAAGCCCCAGGCTTTGACTGACCTCCCTCAGTCAATAATTCAAACGCATAGGCCCACATGGGCTGATTGCCGCCAGCTCCTCCTAACTCTCTCCAACACTGAGGAATGCCGGCGAGTCACCCAGGGAGCTATAAAATGGCTGGAGGAGGGCAAGCCAAGTGGCACATTGGTTGGGAGCTGGCTTGGGACGCCAGCTCTGTGCAGCAGGGCCCCAGTTCGGATCCCACATGAGGACCAGTGACACTGCCCTCTACAGTTAAGATGGTAAATAACAGCTCAACCTGGAGCTGGGATGCCATGACTTGCCGGCGACAGAGTAGGCTGCAGCCCCTGCTGCAGTGGGCTGCCATAAGCTACCGTGTGTGGCCAGCAGCCAGTGTGAGAGGCCAGCAGTCGGTGTGAGCAGCCAAGAGCCGCTGTGAGCGGCTGCCCAGAGGCCGGCGAGTGATCTGCCCCACCCAGGAAGAGCGCAATGATGGTGCCAACATGGGCCAGTGAGGCGACATCCTCCACAACTAGACTGAAGAGCCAAAGAACAGGAACTTGTCTGTTCCCCTTCCCCGATTCCCCAACACTGTTCCCCTCTCTCAATTCCCCAATAAAATCTTTAAAAAAAAAATGGCTGGAGGAACAACCCCACCTGAGACCTTAAACATTCAAGTGTATGCCCAGAACCATTTCCCTGAGGAGGACCCCCAGTGGGACCCCAATGACGACCGAGATTTCCAGATGCTGAAGCAGTATCAAGAAGCCCTTATAGGAGGCCTAAAGGAGGGTAGCAAAAAATGCATCATTATGAACAGGATCTCTGAAGACCTCCAGGTACCAGAGGAGAGTCCAGGCCAATTTTATGAAAGACTCTGTGAGACATCCCATCTCTACACTCCTTTAGACCCTGAGGCTGTCGAGAATCAGCAGATGGTCAATGCTTCTTTCGTTGGGCAGTCCCAGGGCGACATCCGGCAAAAACTTCAGAAACTGGATGGATTTGCTGGCATGAATATCAGCCAATTCCTCGAAGTGGCGACAAAAGTCTATGTCAACCGTGACCAAGAGGCTCGTGGAGAGGCTGATCAGAAGATGAAGAAAAAGATGGACTTGCTGGCTGCTGCGCTGGTTGAAAGGGCTGTGACCCCAGGACAAAATGCCATCCTAAATCTGGGACTACCCCAGTGAGGATGACGTCAAAGGGAGAACACTCTGGGAGGCCAAGGCTAGGACATGAACAATGTGCTTACTGCCACCAACATGGCCACTGGAAAAATGAATGTCCTCAGCGGTTGGGGAGGATGCCAACAGGTCCGAATCCCCAGAGGTGGGGTCGAGTCACTCATGGCCGTTACCAGCCGCCCCAACAGATGCCAGGCCCTTCTGAAGACGACTTTGTCGGACTTGC